TGGGCTTAAGGTGGCGCAAACCACATGTGCACACTTGTTGGGATACGCCCATAGCATTCATCCAGTCTATAATTAGTTTCAACAACTCAGCTGTCCACTGGTTCATTAAGATAGCTAAGCCAGTAAGTTTTACCAAGAGTCAGGGCAAAACACTATTCGTTTGTTGAACAGAAAGGAATAGATCCAGGAAAAGTTGATACATTCACAGTTTTTGACCAGGATCACAACCTAATATACACAGAACTTGCAGAAGCTTATATATTGTCCTCATTTTGTAACCTCTGGCAAGAAAAGTGGTGTCAATACCCAGCACCCAGCTGCTATACATGCCTCCACTGCCTTACAACATGGAATATCTGTTTGGAACCACCAGAGCAGACTGTAATCATTAAGGGGAAACATTTTGGACCACTAGATGAAGCAGTCAGGGAAGCTTTTTTGGTACAGGGAAGAAGGTAAATTGCCAGAAAACAAACAAAAAAACCCCACACTGCACAAGGGAAACCTGCATCTCGAAACAAGGTGTACAGGACTATCGGGGAGCGTCCTAAATGACATCTGTTGGACAACAGCTGAATTGATGACGTATGAGCTTCACCAGTTGGACTGAGGAGACAGGAATAGTAACAAAGCATGCAAATATGATTTTACAAGATGTCATATAAATCTAGCTTTTACAAGGATATTTTGTTTTAACAAAGAACCATTAAGAATTCTATATGGAAACTAATGGATTAAGAAATGCACTTTATGGCAATTCAGCTGTACAAATACCACCACAGAATCATAGTAAACATTCTTTTGAATATACTATCTTGATTTAACAACACAAATTAAAATACTGATATGAAGGATAATGCCTCATTTTGAAAATGAAACAGAATAGATAGTACCATTAACTTTAAAATCAGAAATGTCATAGATCCAGAGTGGAAATAATTCCAAATGAATCTAGTTAATTTTTATTTTACAATAACATGTTGACTATCATTCATTAATCTGCTGAACATAAAGCTGGTTACATATCTACATAGAAAAATATTAATCATGCGCTAATAATGCCCTTTAAACATTGTCTATGGAAGCTGCTTCCAGTGAAACTCAAACAATTCAGGAATATGGCAAAACACTTTCACACTGGTGGTGTTATCTGTATTAGAATGACTAGGATCACCAGCCCCTGGACCCCATTGTGTTAGGTTCTCTACAAGCTCACAGTATGTCAGTCCCCTTTCCCAGAAAGTCTACAGTTCAATGATAAGACAGAGCAGGGTACAAACAGTGTGATGGGTAGTTCAAAGAAATAAAAAGAAAATATTGGTCAACATGATAATAGGTAAGCACATCAGAATCTTATTGTTAAGTTTTCTGCAGACATTATGATAAAGGAGAGAGTTTTACTGAGGCGCTTTCAAGATCTGAAGAAGGATGAAGTAACTTTGTGGTTGCTTATGGGTAGCAACTCCAAAAGGATGCAGAGCAACACAAAAGAATGCATGAAGGGGCTTGTGTGAAAATCTACAAATGAGCAATGGACATTGGCATCAGATCCAAGGTTGGGGGCTTGACCTCTTGATATGTGAAAGAAGATGAAGGGAAACAGGCTGTAAAGAGCTCTGAAACTGAAGACAAGTAGCTTATGTTTGATGTAACAGAGAAGATAGATTAGATAAGTATCTTAAGGTTTGATGTGACAGAGATATTGCTTCTACTAGCTAACTACAATGCCAAAACAGAAAGAGATACAAACAATGGTCAATATGGCTTCACAAGAGACTGCTCAAGATTTGAGGTTAAAAATAATCTGCATGGAGAATAGAAAAAGGGGGAAGCATCCATCAAAGTCAGAATTAGTTATTACCATAAGGGGAAAAGAAGGAGGGGAAATTAGTGTTAGCCCCTATGCTAAAGGAAAATAAGCAGGGTTGCTATCACGTTATCATCAGAAAAAGAAAACTATAAAGAAAAAAAGAATAAATTATTGTCAGATGCTGAACTCCTGTCTGAAATCTGAAGTCAGTTATGAATTAGGATGTTAAAAATATTTTGTAAAGTAACTTTTGATAAAGAGTAGATAAGGAAATACATTGAAAATTTGATCATATATAAATGAGCTAAACCTGGTAACTCTCACTGGGAATAAACTAATGAACTACATATATTATTGAACCACTGGCAATAAAAGGAGTGACAGAGATGTGACAATATCAAAGAGCTGAAAGAGAACAAATACGGCATGAATCTTCAGAAAAAGAATATATGATACTGGTAACTACTATCCTGTAAAATGAACTTAAAAATACTAATGCAACAAAAATAAAAAAGGATGGAGGGAATAGCAAAATATCAATGAAAGGACTTTCCCAAGATGCTCAGAATTAGCCAAACTCTGGTTCCTTGATGCCAGAGAGAGCAAAGTTAGGCCAACACCAAAATATTTCAGAAAAATCAAAGCACGTGTGATAATATAGTCACAACTAAGTGACAACATGAGTTTTTAGAGTGAAAATCTTGACAAATTTAGATAAATGACAACATGTCAGGTTGGAAACAGAAGCATCTAGAACAGCACCACAGAGACACTGGGGTGATAACATTCATTTTCAGTCTCACCTGATAAGAAAATAGACCAATACAATATTTGAAAAGATACAAAGGCACCGCATCACATCACATCACAGAGGTGGTAATGGTCATTCATCTAGCTATGATCTGACTTTAGCTTCTAATGTGCTATCCATAAAAGTGAAGTTTTCAAGTAACATAATGGCATAATGGATGGAGTTTAGAGGTTTTGAGAGACTGATTTATGAAGAAAGATTAAAAGGAAAATATATATATAGCTTAGCTAACTGACAGGATGTAGTCATGGTAACAATTCACACATGAAGGTACAAACAGAAGCAAAAACTATTAACAGCACAATAGAATAAACAAACAAGGGGGAATGGGGTAAAATTAAGAAAGAGAAAATTGTAATCTGAAAATCAAGAACACCAGCTGACAGTGAGATATATTAGACTGAGCAATTATCAAGTATGGTGTATATGCTTAATTGCTTGGATATTCGCAGTTAAGTCTTGTCTACATCCAGCTCTCTCAGAGGCTTCAAATGATGACCTAGGACTGGTGTCGTTTGGCACTAGATGCTACCTATAATTGCAGCTCTAGTATGTACCAGGCGGGAGGGGAGAGTTTAACTACTTTGTACAGATAATATGTTTAAAACAGATAACAGAGTCAATAATAATAAACTCAAAAGGCAAAGTGGTAAAGATGCTGGAACCCAGTCTATACTAGTTACCTCAGCGTGGTCACTGAGGTAATTAATCCTGATAACAGGACAAGACACTAAAACATTTACAATCAGCAAAACCACTGTGTTGGAAACCCAGGTAAGTATTTTTGTATCGTATTTCAACAAGTCAAGATAATCCTAGGAAAAAAGTTATAAATTTGAAAAGTAAGCTAAGTGTGTGAAGTATCTGATGCGTCTATGTAGATTTTCTATTTTTCTTAGCCACATAGCACAACTTAACTTGTGTTCGAAGTATTTCTTTCTTTTCTCAGTCCATCCATACTGAATGGAAATGGATAGGCAAACTATGCTTAAAAGAACAGAATTCTGTCTACCTGTCAAAGGACGAAATGACAGAACAAAACTATTAAACTTCGCTCACAGGATGTTTCTGTTGTGATTTATTAAATCATTTTAATAATTGTATCACATTCTAAAACAAATTTCAGTGTTTAACTAGTTAAATGTAAGTTCAAAATATCAGCAACAGAAATCTAAGCTCACCTGAAGTTGTGGCTTGTGAGGTATTTAATGGCTGCTGGTTTGATACGAGCAACTCCTCCCTGGCTATGGCTTCCTCTTCCCGTGATCACACAGAGATAGGGTTTACCACCAGTCTGCTTGTACTCTGTTACAGCAGGAATTGTTAACGGTTAAAATGTTCTCTTTGCACAGACTCAGTGTTCAAAAGAACTTTTTCATCCAAACATCTGAAAACTTTTACCACAGTGATTTAGACCTTTTTTTGTTTTAGTACACTGGCTATAGATGTTATTTGTGCAACAGTGCCTTAGTGTTTTTTCTCCGCCAGCATAAAAAGTAAATTAAATGCATCATTATTGTTTAAGAACTTATATTGGAATTGTTCAAATGTATAATCTACATGTGCTCTGTCACAAAGAGCTAATGATTTTATAGCAAGTTCAACTACCATTTACAATATCAGACCATTGCTTGAAATTAACGTATGGTTAGGAGATAAAACAGTTAAAAGAGCGCAATATAACAAGGACCATATTTGACTGACTTAATTACCAATTACAGAACACAGAACAAAACTCTTAAATCTAAACAAATTCTATCAATTTTACACCAATTTTTTTTAACCAAATTCATCTTCATTTAACAAACAAGGATAAGAGGAAAAAGACAGACACTGAACCAGTACGATATTTTTTAAATTGGAGATTGAAGTTACACTAGCTGGAGAGTAATTTTTTCAACACTGCAGCAAGTTCTTGGAAACAACCTAAGGATCAATATGCAATTTCAATACATTAGTGTGGGCTTTCAGAGGCTTTCTATTTGGGTAAGCGTAAGTAAATCAACAAAATTCTACCTCCTGAGAAGACTGCAATAGCTTACTATCTATGGCTAAATCCTTTGGATGCAGACTAGGAAAACAGAGTAAGCAAAGAGTTAAATTAATCTGGAGTCTATAATTAAACAAACTGATGTAGTGTATACTTAAAAAAAAAAGATGAATAAGTATTTAGGGATTATCACTTCATGTGAAATCTATAACAGCCTCTCTCTCCTTTATCTACCTCTTTTTCATTCTGTTATCTTTACCAACTGTCAGGCAATCCAGTGCCTGTGACTGGTCTCCTTTCATGTATTCAGACTGAAATATTATTTATTTATTTTCTAGAGTAGAAAAGGCTCCAGCAATGATCGAAAGCACCTGATGACAAATGCTGAGCTTCTGGAAAATAAAACTATACCATGCATTATCAAACAGCATTACGTTACAGCTTAAAGTACAGGAGCATCATCTCAGGAGCAGAGAGTTATAGATTGGCTCAAGTAAATTAGCTCTTGCCCATACTCCAAATGAGAAAAGAGCTCTTAGGACTCATGTTTCTGCTCTGTTAGGAAATTATTTTTAAAGAGAGCCCATATATTTGTAACTTATAGACCAAGTATTTCTTGTAAGGAATGTCAATTGTACTTCACTTATAACATTATATTTTCTGCATGTATTTTGTTTGCATATTTCCCTAAGGAAACAACATTTCTGCAATACTTAAATATGCCACTGGAAGAAGACTCTCCAAGAAATACTTCACCAAATGACATGTCTGAAAATGGCAGTACTTCTGAACTTGAAAGGAAATGTGTACTGGTGACAATTATATGAAAAGGCTCTGAAAGAGGAATTAAACTTTTGTATAACAGCTGTGTTAGGACAATATCCTCATAATTGCTGGAGAGCCAGCATATTTTTTTTTATTATTTCTAAGATTAAGTAAAAAAACACAATACCAAAGAAACAAGTGAAAAGATTAAAGTAAAAGGTAGGTAATGAAGGCAAGTGTGATTAACTCTGATGTCGGGGTAAAGATCAGTAAGTGACAGATCTCCTTGAAGAAGGAGAAAAAGAAGAAAAGATTTGAGAATAAAGCATAAAGAAAAAAGGAAGAAACTGATAGAGAAACACAGGTGGGAAAGTAAAAAGAGGAAAGAACATTTTATTCATGTTTCCATGGCAAAGAGGGGGTCCTCAAAGATTACAAGAAAAAATCAGGTTGTTTGCAGGTGTTAATACTGAAGGTAAGTTAGCAATACTCAGACCCCCTAGATTTTCTGGCATATGTAATGTATTCCTTCTACTCTGGCCCTGCTGAGTAGAGTGTCAAAAAATAATTGTGTGGGGAGAAATGATTATTAGGTTATTCCTACCTTCACTTTTCTCCTGTAGTACTCTGGACAAGTGATTCATGGCTTCATCTACATGGAGACCATGCAAATCCAAAACATTCATGGGCAGCAGGGAGGCATTTACCTTCTCAAAGATTTGCACAGCAGCAGCATGGTTTGCTTCTTTCATCTTCTGCTCATGAAGGCGGCCCTTTATGAATAAACACATCAACCGTTAAATTCTGAGACATAATCTGAACTCCATACTGGTTATGGGGATTCAAAATGACAGCACAAGCAGGGTGCTTTTAAGATTTCATTGCCTCAAACTGTGAGCTGTAATCACAACTCAACTTCTGGAAATGGCTCAGTAAGATCTATTCAGAAAGAGTCATGTGCTGATTTAATGAAACCTGTTCACAAGACACTAGTCAAAGCTGTCACAGAGGAGATCAGAATGAAAACACAGTAAGAAAAGGGAAGGAAACCCAGAAAGACAAGTTAACCTTATAAGAACCCCATATGAATAAAACACAAATTCTACTTAGTCTCAAACTTTAAATTGCTAGTAATTTTTCCAACAATTACATTTTCTTTTTTGAAAATATTTAGCTGTACAAGCTTTATTTCAGAACACTCAAAAATTGACCCATAGTCCAGAACAAACCTCTCACATCTATTTTAAATCTAGGTTGAGACTACAAAATGTGTGCATTAAGATCAACCTAGTTGGGCCTTGCAAATACTTCTTCCATAGCCACCAAGCCCTCCAGTAAAGTCTTTGACAAATCATCCAAAACAGAAACAGCACTTCTATCAAGGGAATAGCCTAGCCTACTAAGGAGTTATGGAAGAAACAAAACCTGAATAATGGAACTGTCAGCATGGCAGGGTAGATGCACTGAATTTTTTTGTAATGTTATAAATGTTTTAACTAAAAAAGGGTTTCCAGAGAAGATATTAAATAGCAGATCAAAGCAGTCCCACTAACATGCACCACTTGCGTTATGCTCCCTGCAATAAGGAGTCTGAATTATGAGAACTTTTACATTGATTATGAACCTGTAACAACTCCAAATCAACAACTCCATCCCAGACACACTTACTACTTATAAATAATACTTGGTTATAAACGTTTATAGGACTGGGCTTTTATTTTGGAGTTACTCTATTCTCCTGGGCCATGGTTAATTCAATTATTTCCTGCAACTAATAACTGTACTTTGTTTTGTTACTGCAGTCATGTCACATAAACTTTCAGATATCATCACTGTAAAGACTGCAGCAACAAATCATTTCCTTGAAGATCTGTGGATACGGCTTAAGAAATGAAAATTGCTTAACAATTTAGGGTATTCATAAATAGAGAAAAGAATAAGTAACACTTCATTTTGAAGCTTCCTTTAAAGGATAATCTTG